CCTAGAAGAAAGGACACAGGGCTTTTTTTTTTTAATTGCATTTTAGGTTTTGGGGTACATGTGAAGAACGTGTTCAATTGTTGCATAGATACACACATGGCAGTGTGATTTGCTGCCTTCCTCCCCATCACCTATGTCTGGCATTTCTCCCCATGCTATCTCTCCCCAACTCCCCACCCCCCGCTGTCCTTCCCCTATTTCCCCCCCGCCCCGCCCCAGACTCTTTTAGAGAAGAAAATACTGGGGAAAAGCTAGCTTTTGTGTAAAACAGACACTAAGGGGCCAGAAAATTTTAAACTTCAGAAACTTAAAAAAGTATATATATAGTAAGACAATTTTTCTGAACTTCCCCAAAAGAGAATAACCCTTGTGAAAACCAATAGCGCTCTCTATGTGATCCCTTTCAAAATTTGTTGAAATGAAAGACAAACTGTGCATGAGTATGAATTACAATGTATCTGTAGAACTGTGATCTCTGCTCCATTTCATTTAAGAAGAACTTCTATCTTGATACTGAATTGACCTCAATCACTACAACTGGCTTATTCAAGTCTGTTCTACTTCTGCCTCTGTCCTACAGATGTACGGTGGATTTAGTTGGAGGAAGTACTGGCTAATAACAAAAAATAGTAGCTAGTAACAAATAAAAAAGAAAGCCGTATTTTACATGTTTGCCTTATGGTTTATTCCATTAATTTCTGAAAATAAGTTTTTTTTTATCAGGCTGGGCATGGTGGATCATGCCTGTAATCCCAGCACTTAGGGAGGCTGAGGCAGGTGGATCACTTGAAGTCAGAAGTTCGAGACAGCCTGGCCAACATAGTGAAACCTCATCTCTACCAAAATTACAAAAATTAGCTGGGCATGGGGACGCACAGCTGTAATCCCAGCTACTTCGGTGGCTGAGGCAGTTTTTTAGCAATCATGCTATATTTTTTAATTGTCAAATTAAAACAACAAGAGAAGGTGGTATAAACAACTGGACAGATAAAGTGAAGGCAATCATAAATCCAGGGACATCCGCAATGACAGAAATCGGAAGCCTCAAGCTATGTATCTGTTTTCCCTGCCCTCTGGCAGGAATCTTCTCTCATGTACATGGTATCTTACTGGTCCAAATTTTAAAGAAACTTATGTCCTCTGCCACTCGCGGTGGCTCAGTCCTGTAATCCCAGCACTTTGGGAGGTCGAGACAGAGAGATCACGAGGTCGGGAGTTCAAGACCAGCCTGGCCAGCATGGTGAAACCCTGTGTCTACTAAAAATACAAAAAAGTAGCCAGCCCTGGTGGCACATGCCTGTAGTCCTAGCTACTCAGGGAGGCTGAGGCTGGAGAATTGCTTGAACCCGGGAGGCAGAGGTTGCAGTGAGCCAAGATCGTGCCACTGAACTCCAGGCTGGGCGATGAGAGCGGAACTCTAAATAAATAACTATGTTCTCCCTTTTTCTTCAGTGTTCTATATATTAACAACTTCTAGTCAACAAGTAATTTGAATTAACAATAAAACATACTCAAATTTCTTTCATGTTATATTTTTTTCCTTGATTCCTCACCTTTCCGTAGTTACCATCTTACCTCTTTTTATACTTTCATGTTAAAACTTCTTCAAGGAGATGTATAAACATGCTACCTTGATTTTTTTTTTTTTTTCCTCCAATCAGGCTTCTTCCTCTATCCTGCTGTACTGAAGTCTTGAGGTCATGGAATCATGTGGACAGTCCAGTGGACTGGAGCATCTGATAAACTTTGCCATTGCCTGCCATGACACTCTATTCCTTCTTTGGCTGTTACTTCCTAGTTATTCCTTGTCAGACTCCTTTAGGATTTTATCTTCCACTCTGTAGTCATTAAATGTTAGCTCCTTAAGAGTCATTCCATGCAATTTTTTCTACTATATACTCTTATCCATTCCCACAGTTTAAAAGTTATTGTCTGCACAGTGATAACTCATAAATTCATCTTTTCCATCCAGATGTCTTCTCTGACCTTTACTTGCATGTATTCAATTGAAAACTCCACTTTATGTTTCAAGGGCACCTTAATCTCAGCATATTCAAGCTTAAACTCATGATCTTCTCAATCTAACCTGCTCTTCTTGCATTGTTTATTATCTCAGTAGATGATAAAATCTGCTATCCAATTTCACATAATTTGACACCTTTATTTTTACTCCTAGTATTTAATGAGTCACAATTTTCCTCCTAATTATGTCATAGATATGTCACTTTACCTCTGACACTAGTCTAGTCCAAACTATCATTATATCTTACTTGAATATACAATAACCATCTAACTGGCTCCTGCAATTATTCCTTAACACAGCTGCAAGGCCAGACATTTGCAAACTGTCTGCCTTTCAAACTTTGTCTTCCATTACTAAGCTACTTTCTTCTGCTTGTCTGTTCAAAACACACTGTTCTTTTGGGTATCTGAATCTAAATATGCCATGTTTTTTTTCTACTGTAGGGTTTACACACACACACACACACACACACACACACACACACACACGAAGTCTTGCTCTGTCACCCAGGCTGGAATGCAGTGGCACAATCTCGGCTCACTGCAATCTCCGCCTCCTGGTTTCAAGGGATTATCCTGCCTCAGCCTCGCTAGTAGCTGGGATTATAGGCACCCGCCACCATGCCTGGCGAATTTTTTTTGTATTTTTTAGTAGAGATGGGGTTTCATCTTGTTGGCCAGGCTGGTCTAGAACTTCTGACCTCAGGTGATACAGCTGCTTCCCAAGGGGTTTTTCACGTACTCTTTCCTCTGCCTGAAACTCGTAACCACTGATTTGGCTGTTTGTTTTTTCTTTTACCAAGTTCACCTCTATTCATTTTTAAAGCTCTTTGGTCTCTCTAGCACAGGCCAGGCTACTTTTTTAACTTGTTCTTCCTGCATCATGTTTCATTTACAACACATCTCAAATTATAATTACTCCTTCATTAGTGTGTCTACTTGTCAGTCTCCCTCACTATACACATAAGAATTTGGATTTTTTCTCTGTTTTGGCTTACCATTGAATTCTAGTAGCTTAGCATAGTGCTACAAATAGAGTAAGAACCATTTGTTAAATGAATATCTGAAACTAAATATAGAATAAAAACCAGGAGAAACACAAAGAAAAATGAGATGCAAATATTAAGACATTGAGAGCTTGCTTAGCCTATAAGACAAAGCAGATTTGCATTTTTAAATTAATAGTGATAACTCATTTTTCTTTTCTAAAGTTTTGATTAAATTAAGTCAAACACTGGCAAGTCCTTGATTTTCAGTTTTACTGGAAACATCAATATTTATTTTACAGGTTGTTTTTTTCCTGAGGCTATATAAGAAATCTGAGTGGCTGGAGGACTGCACCATTAGTTTATTACTTGAAAGTCAACAAGAAAATAACTTCTCTAAGAATTTGACCCTGAATAGAAATTATTTCATGTATAACTGAAAGTGCTGTTGACTGTACAGAATGTTGACAGTGTATAAAACAATGATCTTATTAATAGAAATGCTCTTTAAACAGTTTTTTGTTACTCAGCTTCTCATCTGGTTCTTTTTAGTGATTAACAGTAAACACAACAGAAATGGTTGAAATATTTGTCCGTTGTAATGAAGGAGTTTGTTCTGTCTGTATAGAACTCAGTGTTCCAAAGGGTATACCTAATCTGCAAATAATAATTTCATTACCTTAGAGTAATTTCATTGCCTTCTTGTTATAATCAACTGAATTGCCCAGCCCAGACACCCTCATTTCTTCATTCATTCAGACATTTACTGAGTATCTCCTATTTGCCAGATGCCCTGTTAATTGCATTAAAAATGAGTAAGAAACCATCCCTGCCTGTAAGGAGTTTCATTTTGAGATTGTTGTCAATTTTGTTGATGTTATTTTCAGACTGATGCAGTCTCTGAGAAAGTTTGTTTAATTTATATAACCTTCATAGGTTAGCCAAGATTCCTGTTGATCAGACTAACTTATCTATTTGTCATTTTAAAGGTGAACTCAGTCTCAGAATATTTTTCAATGACATAGAGTAACTCTGGAGACAATTATGACTAGATGAAAAATTTGAGCTATACTGATGAAAAATTTTAAATTCTTAGATCCTACATGTAACTTATGTTTATTAATGCCCCTGAGATGTGACCATCATATTTAGGAATTTCTCTTTTTTGATTTTTCCTAATTTTGAAGCATAAATGAATTCAAAGACTGCTTTCCAAAAATTTACATAATCCAGAAAGACATTTCCATTTAATATTCTGCTGGTTTTTTTTTTTTTTTTTTTTTTTTTTGTTTTTTTTTTTTGTGCACTCAATGGCTGCCACTAACCAATTCCTAGCAGCTATACTTTCTTGAACAACTAAACTGGATCTTAGTTTTAGCTGAACAACTTGATGCTTTATTTGCTTGCACCATAGTATTTTCAAATAAAATTGATATACTCTGTGTGCAATTTGATTGATTGCCATAGGATAGTATTAAATTATAGCTTAGTTCAATTTGTAGTTTATTCCACCTAACTGTAAAAATAAAAAAAAAAGCAAAAATAAAAAAGTAAATAAAACAATTTTCAGATGCACTTTTAAAATTCTTTTCATTTTTCGGTGGCTATTACACATATAAATAACATTTGATGAATAGAGTTCAGGCTAGGTGTGGCGGCTCATGCCTGTAATCCCAGCCCTTTGGGAGGTTGAGGTGGACAGATCACGAGGCCAGGAGTTCAAGACCAGCCTGGCTAGCATAGTGGAACCCTGTCTTTACTAAAAATACAAAAAATTAGCCTGGTGTGTTGGTGCACACCTTTGATTCCAGCTACTTGGGGAGGCTGAAGCATGAGAATCGCTTGAACCTGTGAGACGGAGGTTGCAGTGAACTGAGATCGTGCCACTGCACGCCAGCCTGGGTGACAGAGTGAGAAAAAAAAAAAAAAAAAAAAAAAAAAAAAAAGAGTTCAGCACTATAGTTCAGAACTACTGTGGAGTACAGTACTTACCGTATTGTGATAGGGATGAATGCGTTTGTGTTAATGCTGTAATTAGCAGAAACAGTTAAAATATTTTGAGAATTTCCACATCCATATTTAACTGAGGGTCTTCCTTCCACAAGAAATAAATGAAGAAACTGCTTTCCAAAATTATTCCCATTACCTTTAAGAAAAAAAAATACATCAGTAATTAATGTAGATTTAGATATTTTTTGAATAATATTCATTCAACAAACATAATCTTTGCCATGAAAGAAGAATGATTTAGGGGATTGGTAGGAGTGCTGTTAGATAATTTTTCAATGTAATAAGCACCATATTAGGAATATACATTATTTTCGACAGGCTGAGGATAGCATGGTATTAACATTAACTTGAAGTGAGTTTTAACTTCTGATTGTTACCTAGTAGCCAGATATCCTTAACTATTTTAAAACTGTTTCCTCATATGTTTAAATGAGATAGTGAGTGTGACTACTGTGAGTACTAGAACTATTGTCATAATTAAATAATAAATTTAAAGTGCCATAATAAGTTCTTATAACTTGTATTTATTATTATTGAATCTAATGTGTAAATTTTATTTTTTATTTCTAATTTCTTATAGTTATTTGTATTTTAATTACAAAGCAATATGTGTCTTTTACAAAATTCAAAATAAATATATAGAGAAAAAAGAGAAATAGTTCTTTTCCCTAATCTCATTCTTCATCCTCACTTTGAAATGTTCTTTTCTATCACCTGTCTCCCCACATGCAAATATTTACATATCCCAATTTTATTTTAAAAAGTGAGATCATACTTAATTCAAAAATTTAATAAATGGCTTCATTCATCTTTCTCTTTTTACTTAAAATTTGGACATCTCTCCCTGGAAGCGCATGGAACTTTACTGACGTGTAACTTACATAGAAAATAGCACAAATTATAAGCATAAAGCTCAGTGAGTAATCACAAAGTGAACCCACTTACCTAAACACCACCCAAGTTAAGGAAAAGACCATTATCTGCATTGTTAGAAGTCCTACCAGTAACTACTCTTTTCTATGCTTCACCAAAAGTAACCACCATCTTGATGTTTAACAGTTATTGTTAGTTTTACTTGATTTTAATCTTCATATTAGTGGAATCATATTGTATGGTTTCTTTATGTCTATTGTAATCCTCTCTTTATGACAGTCCCAAAACAGGTGAATTACAGTACAATAAAATATCTTGAGAAGGAGACCATATTCACATAACTTTTATTATAGTATATAGTTATGATCATTCTGTTATGTGTTGGTATTAATGTCTTACTGTTACTAATTTACAAATTAAACTTAATCATTGGCATGCATGTATAGGAAAAAATGTAGTATTGATAAGGTTCAGTACTATCCATAGTGTCAGGTGGATCTTGGAATGTATCCCTTGGAAATAATGAGGGACTACTACCTTTGTTTCTTGCTCTGTGTTATGTTTGAGAGGTAGCATTATGCCACAGTTCATTAATTATCATTGTTTGGTAATATTCCATTAAATTAATCTCTTCAATTATTCTTTCTAGTGTAGATAACCATTTCTCCCCTAGGTTTTGGTTACTGTGAATAATGCTGCTATGAGCATTTTACATATGTCTTTCAGTTAAATTGCATCCATTTCTGTTGTGTATACATCTAGAAGTTGAATTGGTCTGTCAAAAAGCATAAATATGATTAACTTTAGTAGCTGTTGCCAGTTTTCCAAAATAATTGTTTATATTTAACTCCTTACCAGCAGCGTACAAGAGCGCCAGCTGATCCATAGCCTTACCATCACTTGGTATGGTCACCTTGTAGATTTCACCATTCCGTTTATTATAGTTTTAATTTTACTTTCCTTATATTGGTGAAGTTGAACATATTCTCATGTTTACTGTATGTTTTGATATACTCTTGTGAAATGTCACTTTGTGTTTCTTGATCATATTTATATTTAGTTGTTTGCTTTTTTTTCTCATTGAATACAAGCTCTTTGTCAACTACATAGATTGTAAATATCTTCTTCAGTTCTGTAGATTGGCTTGCCAGTTTCTCAAGGGTGAGTTTGATAAGCATACATGCTTAATTTTAGTGTAAATCAGTTTATGAATTGTTTCCTTCAGAGTTATGATTAGTCCTTTCATGTCATGTTTAAGATATCTTTGCCTTCCCCAAAGTCATAAAGTTATTCTACATTAGCTTCTAATAAGCTTTACTTAAGCTCTGCACTCTACCTAGAATTAATTTTTCTGTGTAATGTAAAGTACGGAGTTGGAATAAACTGAATTATGACATTCAAAGACACCATGTTGTTGGAAGCTGTGAGTGTTATCTGATATTGTAAAAGAGACTTTGCAGATGTGATTAAATTAAGGAGCTTGAAATGGAGAGATTATCCTATATTATATGGGTGGTCCCTAAATGTAGACACAAATGTCCTTATAAAAGAAAGGAAGAAGGAGACTTGATGGCAGATGAGAAAAGGCTGTGTGACTACAGAAGCAGAGACTGGAGTGATGTAGCCACAAGCCACAGAATGCTGACAGCCACCAGAAGCTGGAAGAGGCAAGGAATGGATTCTCCTCTGGAGCCTCCAGAAGGAACCAGTCCTGCTGACAGCTTGCCTTTATCTCCATAAGACTAATTTCAGACCTCTGACCTCCAGAACTGTAAGAGAATACGGTTCTATTGTTTTAGTGGTAACTTGGTATAGCAGCAGTACAAAAATAATGTGGGGGTCAATTTTTAATTTTTTCATTTTGATATCTAAAATCATCAAAGTAAATGATTCTTAGGATGTTAAATATTAAATTCTCAGATGTTTATTTGTGAACTACATATGCTATAGAACTTATTGAGAATATAAATTCAGTATAAGAGCAACACAAAATAATACATAATAATAAAAGATTAAATCAATATTGCATAAGTAAGGAAATAGATAAAATAACAGCATTAAAGATTTAATAATAAGTTAGAATGACAAAAGGCATATGGTTGAAAATCACTCATTTGAGATCCTTCTAAATGTCCTATTTTGGGATCCACTGAACCCATCTGGGTTTTTATCACTTCTGAGGACTTCAGCTGTACAATGTGCAAATTAGCCCACTGCCTGGCATAGGGCAATGCAGCTTTACGTTTTCTGCATCTTCTGAGATCCATTAGCAGGTTTTTTTTTTTTTTTTTTTTTTTTTTTTTTTTTTTTGGCTTCACTCTTTAGTGTTTTTCCTTATTTTCCCCCAGTTTCCTATTCAGTTGATCAGGCTACCTTTATCCGAAGTTGAGGGTATAATTTAAAATTTTTAGTATTATTGTTGACCTTTTTCTGGAGTAGAAGTGAAGTGGTGGTTGGGAGAAGGAGCATATTTAGAAATATGAAACTGCACCAGCACTTGTGTGTTTCTCCTTGGACCTGTAAAAGGTTATACTATAAAATGGCATAAGGTTTTTCTTTCCTGAATTGTTGACTTGTTCTCTACTCCCATGATTTTGTGAGTGGGAAGGGTGGAATGCATTAAAGGACAGCCTGTTATCCTGTTGCATTCTATTATTTCAACTCAGAAGTTTTCTACTTCTTAATATTTTTATAAACTGCTTTGTTACCATTTCAGACTCATATTTTTGAGATAAGCTTTAAAAGTAAGATATATAGCATAGGGTAAAACAGAACAGCTGAACATTTAGGTCAAGCTGTTGTGCCATATGCACAAGGTTTGTTTTTGAAAACTTCCAAAACTGAATTTTAAAGATTGACTATACACATTCAACAAGATACATGTAGTATGATGCAAGAATGAGTAATTTTTAAAGGAAGCTCAGCATCAATGACAGAGATGAATAGTCTTAATCAAGTATACCAACATCCCATTATGGACTGTAGAGGCTTTATTGCATTGTACGGTACAAAATAAGACTATTTTAATAAAGGTAATGGGAATAAAAATGAACAAGGAAACTTAGTTCTCTTTACAGTCTGCTATATATTAATAGCTTTTAATTTACCACATTGATTCATTCTATTAAGCAATTTGTGGTTTTATGTAATACTTTTTAAAAAGTTCAAAGTATTCTGCAAATAGCATGTGATGGTAGGTGGGAAAGTGGAGGATCTGACACTGCTGATGTGTTTCCATGATTCTATAGCAAATTAACTGCTGTAGGGAATAAAAGACATATTATTTAATTGACTTTTTTCACCCTCAAATCAGTTGACTTTGTATCATGTAACCCTAGGATTCTATAAGTAGAGAAAAGCTATGAATAAACACATTCAGGAGGAACTCTGGTTTTGCCAAACAGTATTAAAGACATATTTTCAAACACAATTATGATAAAAATTATTTGATTTTAGAATGGAAAAATTAGTGGTAATTAGGAAAAGAGAAAGAAACTTGAGAATTTTCAAAGCAGAACTAGGAAAATTGTTAAGTAATGACTATTCTTAGATAAACATATGTATTTTTATATTAAGCCTTATGGATTGAGTAATCCATATGTCATATTAAATTTAGTTCAACATTGCTCACTGAATCTAGACATCAAGCAAATGTGAATCTCTCTCTGTCTATGTATGTATATATGCATGTGTATATATCTATATATATATGTATGTATGTTTGCAAATACATATATAGGGCAAATGTTAAAGGCAGTGTCTAGAATATTTTCCCCATAATGTTTGTGCCACCTTCAGGCAGGACTTGAAAGCTCCATAGAAGAGTTAATTATTAAGCCACTGAAAGAAAGTCACTCTGTTGTTTCACTGAAAAGATGCTTGATGATCCATTAGAGTGGTGTGAACCTGTCCTCTTCTTTGAAATATTAGGTTGGTGCAGGAGTAATAATGGTAATCATGATGCTTTTAGATTTTGTAGTAATTTTTAAAATGAATTATTTATTGATTTCTTTTTCTGAAAGTTTTATCAGACTACATTTCAAAACTGTATAAAATCTCTAGTTCTCAAATTTTATTTATCCCTAATAAAATGATTGCGTCTGCTAATTTAAGATTTGTTAAGCATAAAAGTGCTGCTTAGAAGAGTAAATAGTAATTACAGTATTCCTCTCAAAACAATAGTTTCTAGTATCTAAATCTCATAGCTTTTAGAGAGATAATCCTAACAGGTTTGAATCTGATATGTAAAGATATATATAATTA